AATATTGCGAGGAATTGGCAGCAACCGCAACCGATGGTAGGATCATAGTACTGTTGTGTTCTGTTAGGAATGTCAAACAACATGCACAGTATTGAACCTTATCGAAATAAGTCCTAATGCAGCGGAATCTATAGTTAGGATATGGATGTTTACCTTTTAAAATTTTTGCCGACTCTGAGACGATGTAGAGCACCGTTGGTGAAGTTCGTCTGAACACCACAACCTAATGGGCGGATAGGTTTGGCCTTTAGTTGATTCTAATCAACTCATCAAATGGATCACGAACGGACGGTGCGCGGGTCTCGGTCGTCGGGGGCAGTGGGCTGATCGCGGGCGTCGTGCGCGTCGGGCGCTGGGCACGGTCGTGCGTGTTGCGGACGTGGGTACTGGCAGCTGGCAGCGGATCGCGGACGTTGGGCGTGTGTGATGACGGATCGACTTTCTGTCTGTACTCGGTTGTGAATAAACGCGCTCTGGGCCTTCGTTTATCCACGATAGACGTGTCTAACAGACGCACTGCGGCCTTCTCCTAGACACCGTGACTTCAAGACGCACTAATGGCCTTCTTTCCGACACTGTATGTAAACACGCACTAACGGCCTTGTTTAAACACACGTTAAGAACATCAGTTCCCCCTCAAGATTGGCTCACCAATTCAATACTTCATTCAACATGTAAAATATGATGAGGTACATGGGGTATTTATAGATACTAACTATCTCTAAGCCTAATAGATTTAGATCTCCTATTCTATGCAATAAAATAAAGCCTAACTCTAGAAAGCAATAAAATCCTAAAGCTACCAAATATCTATTGTTTGGCTTGCACACCAAGCAAGTCTAGAAGCTCCCTAAAATCCCACATGTTCAAAACTCTCGGCGCCCCTTATACGCACGCCGCCTCACGGCTCCCGTCCAACGCGTCGCACGCGTCATCCGTGCGTCGCCCCTCGTTCTCTCCTAGTCCTTGGCGCATTAGGCTTCGCCCGCTCGTTTCGCACGCGCGCCCTATGCGCGCCCCCAGCTCGCGTCCGATCCCCTCGTGCGCGTGCGTGTCACCCCCCTCGCCTACTCCTTCCGCACATAGGCATGCGGTGGCGCCTGTCGCCCATTCACGCATCATCGCGCGCTCCTCGTCCCCGTCAGCTTCCGTGCGCGCGTTCCTGCCAACGCCCGTTCCTCGATCGCCTATGTCGCACCCTTGTGTGCCCGCTGCGCCGCGTACGTCCAACGTATCGCCCGCTTCACCTAAGCCTGCACGGCTTAGGCCTTCGCCCGCGTGTACTTCTTCCGCGCATGCCGTGACTTCCGTTGCCTTGCTGCCGAACGCCAATACATCCCAGTCGACGTCTGTGACTGGCCTGCTTATCGTGCGCCTAGCGTGCGTCGCATTTTCGCCGCCCGACGCCCGCACGTTACCGCCAACTCCCGTGGCTCGTTCGTACATTGTTGGTGCATCATCATCGGCCATCCAATCGCGCGCATCATGGGCCGATGCGCGCCACTCGCCTATTAGCCGATCGTCGTCGCCCTTCCCGTCGGCGATCGTCACCTTTGGTTCGGGCCATGGGTCCCAACCCATCAACCTCACACAATCATCCGCCGGTATCCACCATCCACTTTGAACCCATCGCAGACCACGCCTTTTAGCCTCCTTCTTTTGAGTTCGCCTTTTCTTTGCACAAGGCTCGCACCTACATGGACTTGCTTTTCGGGCCCTTGCTTTGCGTTGTCTCTTGGCCGTCCGTTTCCTTACCTTCGACTTCAGCTTTGGCCCACAACCTCTTGGCCAATCTCGTACACATGATGGCCGGTAAATAGGGCTTGATGGCTCTTCCAACATATTTTCCAACCAAATATCGAGACCATCGCCATCATCATTGTCGGACTCACCGGGGTTGATGACCACTTCCGTATCATTCCCCTCCTCTTCGAGACTTTCCTTGTCCTCAAGGATTAAGAAATTAAGCGCACCTTCCTCTTCGTTTGGTCCCTCCACCACCATTGCTTCTCGGGCTTCCATGAGTTGTCGTTCATATTCTTCAATATTACTTCTCTCATGAAGCTCATCAAGATATGTCTTCTCCCATGGTGTGAGCTCTCTCTCCAACCCTTCCAACATCTCAAGATATTCCCAATCCAACTCATCCATTGGTGGGTAAGACATAATTTTTTTTTTTTTACTCTAAAAAAAAAATCAAAAATAATAGGGAAAAAATTCGAACCCCCAACAAGACTCAAAAAATCGAACAAAGAAAAATTCGGCCCCTCAACAAAAGGTAATAACCGAACAAAAAATCAATCAAAGACTAACAAGATTACACCTTTTTTTTTTTGACTCAAATTCGAAAATATAAAGGGAAAATTCGAACAATAAAATTCGAATCCCAACAAAAATAAAGAGAAATTCGGCCCCTCAGCAAAAGGCAAACCGAAAAAAAAGATAAGATAGACACAAAATCGATCAGCACCTCTCAATGAAAGCACCAATGATGACGGATCGACTTTCTGTCTATACTCGGTTGTGAATAAACGCGCTCTGGGCCTTCGTTTATCCACGATAGACGTGTCTAACAGACGCACTGCGGCCTTCTCCTAGACACCGTGACTTCAAGACGCACTAATGTCCTTCTTTCCGACACTGTATGTAAACACGCACTAACGGCCTTGTTTAAACACACGTTAAGAACATCGGTTCCCCCTCAAGATTGGCTCACCAATTCAATACTTCATTCAACATGTAAAATATGATGAGGTACATGGGGTATTTATAGATACCAACTATCTCTAAGCCTAATAGATTTAGATCTCCTATTCTATGCAATAAAATAAATCCTAACTCTAGAAAGCGATAAAATCCTAAAGCTACCAAATATCTATTGATTGGCTTGCACACCAAGCAAGTCTAGAAGCTCCCTAAAATCCCACATGTTCAAAACTCTCGGCGCCTCTTATACGCACGCCGCCTCACGGCTCCCGTCCAACGCGTCGCACGCGTCATCCGTGCGTTGCCCCTCATGCTCTCCTAGTCCTTGGCGCATTAGGCTTCGCCCGCTCGTTTCGCACGCGCGCCCTATGCGCGCCCCCAGCTCGCGCCCGATCCCCTCGTGCGCGTGCGTGTCACCCCCCTCACCTACTCCTTCCGCACATAGGCATGCGGTGGCGCCTGTCGCCCATTCGCGCGTCATCGCGCGCTCCTCGTCCCCGTCAGCTTCCGTGCGCGCGTTCCTGCCAACGCCCGTTCCTCGATCACCTATGTCGCACCCTTGTGTGCCCGCTGCGCCGCGTACGTCCAACGTATCGCCCGCTTCACCTAAGCCTGCACGGCTTAGGCCTTCGCCCGCGTGTGCTTCTTCCGCGCATGCCGTGACTCCCGTTGCCTTGCTGTCGAATGCCAATACGTCCCAGTCGACGTCTGTGACTGGCCTGCTTATCATGCGCCTAGCGTGCATCGCGTTTTCGCTGCCCGACGCCCGCACGTTACCGCCAACTCCCGTGGCTCGTTCGTCCGTTGCTAGTGCATCATCATCGGCCATCCAATCGCGCGCATCATGGGCCGATGCGCGCCACTCGCCTATTAGCCGATCGTCGTCGCCCTTCCCGTCGGCGATCGTCACCTTTGGTTCGGGCCATGGGTCCCAACCCATCAACCTCACACAATCATCCGCCGGTATCCACCATCCACTTTGAACCCATCGCAGACCACGCCTTTTAGCCTCCTTCTTTGGAGTTCGCCTTTTCTTTGCACAAGGCTCGCACCTACATGGACTTGCTTTTCGGGCCCTTGCTTTGCGTTGTCTCTTGGCCGTCCGTTTCTTTACCTTCGACTTCAGATTTGGCCCACAACCTCTTGGCCAATCTCGTACACATGATGGCCGGTAAATAGGGCTTGATGGCTCTTCCAACATATTTTCCAACCAAATCTCGAGACCATCGCCATCATCATTGTTGGACTCACCGGGGTTGATGACCACTTCCGTATCAGTGTGCGTGCACGCGGGGCAGCACTCCTATGCGGACGCAGACTGGCGCTGGCGGGTAGAACGCACGCGGGCATGCTGGTCACGGAATACTGGACGCGGGCGGACTGTCGCGCGCGTTGCACAGGCGTGATGACGGATCGAATTTCTGTCTATAGTCAGTTGTGAACAAACGGCGCACTCAGGGCCTTCGTTTATCCACGATAGGTGTATCTAACAGACGCACTCGGCCTTCTCCTAGATACCGTGACTTCAAGACGCTCTAATGG